AATTTATTATTAGTTTCGTAATACAGGACACTAAATAAACTATACAAATACTATAAGCATATCCAACTTTATCTGCATACATACTCACATAAATTGATATATACTATATCAAATTTCAACTGCTTGATTACTTCTATCATCACAAAATGTGAGCTATATCATCATGACTTGACTTGTCCTTATCTGCACATCGGGTCATTTATTTCATTATGCATTGTGCCATTATCTTCTCCACTGTACAGCTTACATTTGGGCCTGTTCTTCATATAAAACGATTGTATGACATCAGAAGACGTGCACCAGTTCATGACACAAGGGTTTGCAGGTGCACTCATGTTTACATCAGCAGCGGGTTTCATCACATGTTCCGCAAATAATTCAGGCAGCTGTTTATGTTTGGTTCCTCACCCATGTCAGTCAGGACAGGATAGATCTGCTCTAGGAAGTGATCTTCTTGAACTTCCTGAAGACAAATAATCTGTACAAAAAAGGAAATAATGATATTGCTTAGAACCTACACCAGTTATATTTATAGGTTTTGGGTTGTGTGTCGCCTTACGTCAGGTTCCCAGATCTGGAGCTCCTTCAGGATGGTCCGGAGTCGCTGGTCCCACACTAACACTTCCTCTGGACAGTGTGTGTACAGCTGTGGATTTGCTTCTAGCAGATCTTGAGCCAGGATGTTGTAAGACATGATGCTGAAGTCAAACACAGCAGCTGTGTCCCCACAGGCCCCGGTGTGGGTTTCACTAAGATCCTCCCACACCCGCCACATCACTTCGACATAGAAAAAGCATGATTTTAATGGAAGACTGGGTAGTCAAAACAACTACATAGCACAATATATGAGTAAGTTACACGAGCAGTCAAACATTTGGACACATCTAATCTTTAAATAAATAAAAACATTAATATTATGAAATATTACTACAGTTTACATTGATATTACATTACTTTCTGTCACTCACTTCCACATTGTGTTGAATGACAGACACTAGGGGTCACTCTTGGGAGCCCCAAACACCTCTGAGTAGTAGTAGTAGTATATTTTTATTTAATGCCATGTCAGCACCAAACACCTCTGATGTATTTAGAATAGGGCAATGAAAGTTGGTGAGTGGAGGAATTGTTCGAGGCTCCTGTTTACTTCTGCTGGCCAAAGCATTGAGAGGTCTGCACAAGGTTAGTCCTGACCCAGAGGTAATGCATTAACTGTGTTTGGCAACCGTTTATGCTCTACGGACTACAAAGTTTAAGGCACAAGCCCTGGGTCTGACCCAGGAAAAGTTGGAGAGGGCGACAGAGGGAGGGATGAAATTTTCTTTAGGGCCAGACACCATCGGGCCTCCGGACCAAGGTAGGTGCTTTTGTACACCGTTTGCCACAATTTCTAAGAGACAAGAGGCCTCCCAACATGGCAGGCCTTGCTCCACCTTGCCACAAGCTACCCACTGTGGATTCGCCGGACATTGTCCCTTTGGTGCCATTAGTGCAGTATCTGGATGCATGGCTAGCGCTGCCCAACCCATCACACTGGCTAATCAG